TACATCTTTTCTAATGCTATCACAAGTAAGGGGACATAACTGCTATTAAATTGTGTCTAATGATAATTATTGCTCAAGTAGAATAGATTATTATAGATAGTATTTTTATAGATAGGGCAGAATTTGTTTAAAACTTTTCATCAATTATCAAATTTTAAACAAATATAGAGCTGGGTAATATCCATTATCTCTGCAACATCTCCTACGCTATTACATAATTCTACCATGGTTTACTTTAGCAGGTAAATCTCAAATTAGGTAGTGAATATTCATGCCGTCACATGATTGTCTAATCAGCCAATCAACATGCTTTTACGTATAGTTTGTTTTATAATACAAAAACACGCACAAAATTCAAGAATATTATATGAGTGGAGGCAAGTGGACAACCCTTGTTCATTAGCTAAGATTCTTTAAATCTTGTTTATTGATACAAAATATTACGATTTTTCACAATATGGCATATTTCTGTATTTTTGAATGAGACAATATTGCTAAAAATATGAATTCCCAGTGGCGAAGCCAAAGGGGTGGCAAAGAGGGCAGCTGCCCCCCTCGAAGCCCTGAAGGCTTAATCGGGCTAAATCTCATAACTAGGTTAGAAATTCAGTCCCTCTCAGACATTAAACTTGGCTCTGCCACTGTGAATTCCTATCCCAATATTCTGTATAATTGTGATGTTGTATATTACCCAGCCCTAGACAAATTAATGAGATTTTTCGCTGTCATTATTTGGCACATTAACTAAATGTTTTACTATTTCTTCTTTATTATATTTTAATTAATTTTGAAATTTGAGTGTTTACATTATTGTTATGAATGATATCATTCTTTTTGATCTAAAATTTGTTTTTGAGGTTTCTTATTTGATTTGTTGTAGTTGTTTATGTTTGTAGTTGAAAATTGAAATTCCAAAACTTAATTTAAAAAAAAAAAATCCATATCTTTATTTAGAACAAAATTAAGTTAAATCTTTTGAAAATTTTGAAAACCCAATGAATTTAGTGTTCTAATCACTGATTGGTCAAATATATTTTGAATTTAGTTTTATCAACCAATCAGATTTCTTTATGGAGAGATACCAAAGCCAAGAAGGAGGTCTATAACAATGTTGTATGTTAGTTGTTGAGTTTTGAAAGTTGTTATGTTTATGTATATAATAATTTTGTGGTTATGTTATTCTGTATAGAACTTAATATATCTATTCGCATCATCATGTGCTAATTCAACAGTGCTCCTCTTATTTTTAATTTTTTTGTCTGTGGCAAGGAATTGGTTTACGAATTAAGAACAAAATAATGGTCTCTTCTTATGCTTTTGGCAATTTAAGATTTTAAAAAGCGATATATGATAACTTTGAAATGCTGTTTTAAGTTAAAGCATCACAGCTTCCAAATGATTCTACTAGAACAAGGAACAAAATAATTGGAAACAGGAAATTACAAAAAATAATAATGCTGAAGATAACCTAAGGAACATAAAAACAAAATGGTGCTAATGGGTTTCAAATTGGGTACAAAATGTCCCATTATCTACTAAATCTGTGTTCAAGGGTTAAGGCCATAACATTATAACTAAAAAAGGACTGACTGTGGAATTTTCTTACCTTGAAGAGGATTTGAACCAATCACAATCAAGCACTAGCAGATGACAATCTAACTGACTACCAATTGAGCTAATCCACTGCAGTGTTAAGGTTAAAACCGTGTTCAAAGGGTTAAGGCCTGGGTTTAATTGATATATTTTATCTTAGCTTTTTTCCCAATCAATTTCTTGCCACAGGTGAAGTTATACCCTTTATGTAGAAACTTATATATATATTATAAATTATAGGCTATTATATACTTACTTCAACTTTCTTTTAAAAAAATTAACTCAAGATATTTTTAGTGTTTGATTTTTAATGCTTTGAAAGTCTGCGAGTTGTAGGCTTTCATCTGATTGGTCAAATTGGTTTTAAATTTACTTTTATTACTGCATGTGAATGAATGAATATAGTGTTCCTGTCATATAATTGGGCAATCCATGAAATTTGTTTTATATTTAGTAGTTTGAACCAATCAGATTAGGGCATTACATGACTTAAGATGAAATGAGTGATCCAGTTCATCTGATTGGTCAAATTTATTTTAAATATTCATTCTATTGACTAATCAGATTACTGTATTTAGTCAACATGATTTTAATATTCATGAGGCTGTATGAGATGGCATCAATCAAAAAAGCATGACTTGTTTCTGGCAGAAATGATTTATACTTGCATAAGCTAGCTTAGAGTCTTGGAGTTAAACTGGCTCTTTTAGTAGTGCCTTGGAAAGCAGGTTTCTTAGGTTCTAAAACGTTCTTATATTTGACTCGGCCCTAAATGCCTCCCTGTAAGTAAACTTTATTTCTCATTTTAGTTTGATAACGCCTCATTCTTGTACCTCTCATGTCTATCTTACTCAGGGTCCCTGGCTTTATACTTCGGAACCTGTCTGGTTTGCCATGTTTCATGAAACAGGAAATTCCTTTCGCTGCACAATTTTTCATAAATGAAAATCTGCTGATATACAGGGCTCTACTATATTTGCATCTTCTCTGACGTTCATTTTGTGGAGAGAGAAAAATGTCTTTCATTCTCAGACTGGAAACTAACATTTATGTTGTAATTTTAACCCTTTCAACCCTATCAGCATAATTACGCTATATATTCCCGAGCAGCTGATATTCCGGCCGTTACTAAGTGACGTCACACAATGTTAACATCATACGCTTACTAATATTACTTGTTCAGGTTGACGTTTGATTTCATTTCAATCAGTGTTAAATGGGCTAATAAAAAAAATTGACTCATTGACTGATGTTTGATATTTAAACAACAAGATTAAAATAAGACTGTGTTTTGTTTTGAAATAATTTTTAGATGTATTCGATCATAAACTAAAGAGATGCCCTGTTGATGTTTTGATGGCACAATTCGATTATGTTTAAAAAAAATCGCACAGCTGAGTTGCCAATGTTTTTATGTGAAATTAATAGTGAAAACGTTACAGTGTAGTTTAATGGAATTATTATTTTCAATGGCATAATTTTTTGTATGTATGATCATTTGTTGGGGGAGGGGGTAAGGGTGAAAGGGCTACGAAAGGTTGATGCTGCAGCCAAAGTACTAATAAAAAATGCAGTAAAATTGTCAACTTTTGACCCCCACCCCCCTCTCCTCCTCCTCCCTCCTCCTCCTCTCTTTACTTTTGTATTTTTTTGCCAATTTTGTTGTATATGGATATGATTTAAAGCCAAGCTAAATAGATTGCCTAATAAACATAAGATATAAGCTAACATTTTGAGTTTAAAGGGTAAAGTTTCGACAATGAGGCATAATTGTGTATAAAAATGAATTATGCCTCATACTGTATGTATAAAGCCCTGTAATTTTGCTAGCCTATATAGTAGACAGTGTCTGTTTATTAAAGGGCCCTGTAATTCTGCCTGTATTAGTGTTAAATAATGCCTATAATGTTTAAGAAGACCTGCTATTAATTTTTTTTTAGATAAGACCCTATGAATTTTACGTATAAGGGCTTGTTATTGAGGCCCGCCTCTATGATTGTTGTAATTAAGGACTGTCATTAAGGCCTGCTTTTACAAGGCCTGTTTTTGAGGCCAATCTATGATAAAGGCCTGTTATTAAGTCCTGTTTCTACAAGGCCTGTTATTAAGGCTTGCCTCTTAAAGGCCTGTTATCAAGGCTTGCCTCAACAAGGCCTGTTATTCAGGCCTGCCTCTACAAGGCCTGTTATTGTGGCCTGCCTCTACAAGGCCTGTTATTAAGGCTTGCCTCTACAAGTCCTGTTATTAAGGCTTGCCTCTACAAGCCTTGTTATTGAGGCCTGCCTCTACAAGGCCTGTTATTGTGGCCTGCCTCTACAAGGCCTGTTATTAAGGCTTGCCTCTACAAGTCCTGTTATTAAGGCCTGTTATTAAGGCTTGCCTCTACAAGCCTTGTTATTGAGGCCTGCCTCTACAAGGCCTGTTATTAAGGCCTGCCTCTACAAGGCCTGTTACCAAGGCTTGCCTCTACAAGCCTTGTTATTGAGGTCTGCCTCTACAAGGCCTGTTATTAAGGCTGTCTATGTATAAAAGTACTGTTTGATTGTGATATATTCTACTTTAACAATATTAATATTATTGATGCTTTCTGTTAAATATTGCAGCTCATCCTGTATAATACTACATCATTACAAATAAAATGTCTTTTCGAATTATTCTTTTTTACTCACAATATGGACCTACATTTGACTACCCTCTTTTTGTATGAAGGGATGCAAGTGGTGAAAAGTCATAAACTCATAAGGGAGGTTCATTGTAGGTCTGAAGTATTTAACAACTGAGTCTTAGAAGTTTTACTGACAACATGGCCTACATATACCATTGACTTGTACAAAGAGAGGCACTTCTCACACATCTCTGTGTATCCAATTCGCCTACATCTTGCGAGAAGTTGAAAAGGATGAAAAATTTCACAGAAGGATTTATTTGAGTCCAACAGCATTGAGCATCTAAGATATAGAGCACAATTTGTAGATAGCGATGATGGTGTCTATCAAATCATTAAGCTATTACCAGGTAAGCTACAGATTTTGATGTATTTACTAACAGACAAGAAAAGCAAAGGCTAACAACTTGTAGACTGGCAACAGAAGGGTGACCATGTCTTGCTATAAACGCCTTCGCAATACATATTTTAATGGACATCGCTTCACTGACATCCTTACATCTGGCCTCAAGAGCTATGTTAGATCTAAGATTTCTTTTAACGTAATTAAATGAGAAATTGGCAATATGGCATTCTGGTTACGAAATATTATTAGTTACGTAACGTACAAGAGATAACTGTAGCAGTGGGTACGTATTGGCAGCTGTTCTGATATCTGATTGGTTGAATCCAACTTCCGGTAAAAATGATAATGGCCGACTTATTTACGTTGTAAATTATTTCCTATTATTTATCGATAGAAATGGACTTTTTAAAAGCTGAAATCGAAAGAAAGAAACGTCAAATAACCGAAAGCAATGTCCTGGTAATCATTTCTTCTTTTTTCATACTGCTTCAACTTTATCTACCCACAAATTTGTGTCAACTGGCACTTTTGAGTCACGCGGAGGCAAATGATTTGAAGTGAAAGTGAATAAAATAGACAATCTTATAAAATCATAGAAAATACGCCTGTCTATACATCAATTATCAGTTCAATATATATCTTTACTAATTATTAAAAGTTATAAAATATATCCTTGAATCTTTTTCAACCACTTTTCAGGCACCAGATAAGAAGTATTTTAAAAGAGGGGATTTAGCAGCAAAACAAGCAGAGGAATACTGGAGAAAACATGGCCGTCTGCAGAATGATCCTACGGTTTGTAATTTCTCTTCTGTGTCACTCAATTCAATGCTTCATTTTTGATGGTGCATGAAATTTCTTTATGAAGGGCACATACGAATAGAAGATTTAACTCCATGATCTTGCAATGAACAACAAGTCAATATAAGCCTAATCTGAAACCCTGATTATATTCCTGTTGCTGAAAGCAGTTAAGAAAAAAGTTTGTCTTTGATTTTGTTTATTTTGATTTGTAGAATTCTAAAGAAAATGGAGAAAGTTCTGATGTTAAAACAGACACAGCACCCGATGATAAACAACATATACTACCTAGAAAAGAGGTCAGTACTGGTTATTACTTTGAACGAGGTTCAGCAGTAAATTCCCCACACAGTATCTTTGAAATAGAAAGAACTCAAGTGTCAAATGTTGGTTAATCAGAGAGTTCTTTTATAAAATGTCATACTACTGAATAAAGTTTATCTCGAATGTCCAAATGGATAGGTACTTGACTCTTATTATGTCTGGTATGGCATGTGTCGACAAACCAGAAATTCATTCAACCGCATGATTTTATCAGTGGAGATATGATTTCCTATATAACGATTGCTAACAAAAAAATAACTTCAATGCACAATTTCTTATAAAATGTCTTTTTACAGGTAATAAGAAAACTAAGAGAAAGAAATGAACCCATTCGATTATTTGGAGAGGAAGACTTTGATTCGTATCAGAGACTTAAAAAACTGGAAGTTCAAGAACCAGATGTAAATAAGGTAAGGCTTATGACTTATTAGTGTTTAGTCATTTGTATAGGACAATAGATGGAGGTCTCTTGTGCTACAAGCTGTGCACATTAAAGATCCCTCAACAGTTTGAAATGGAAAAAAAAGTAGGTAATGCAGCTGTCCTGACAGAATTTCCTACTTGCACATTGCATGACGTTGCTCGTCTTTATTAGTCCATAAGGTGCAGAAAGTAGGATGTAAATATTTCATTTTCATGGCTTGAGATGTTCACTGAATATCTTCTATTATTTTAAAGCTTGAATTTTTAATTTTGACAATCTTGTCAATGTTTCAGGGTCATGGTTATGAAAATGATTTTAAGACAGCTATGGACAAGGTAGATGAAGAATATCTAGTAGAGATTATGAAGGGAGAAGGCAGTCTTCCCTCTAATGATGTATCTGTTAAAGATGATGGTACCACTAATGATGATATTGATGTAAGGATTAGATTTTGATCCATTCATTATGGGTTACAGTTTCAAGGTTATCCAAAAACTAGTTTTTTTTTTAAAGAAAAATTACTGTCGGATCCACATTTCCCAATCATTTTTGTATTAATGTCAAGAGGTACTATTCAGTTACATAATGTTAAAAATATTTTGGTTTTGATACACTAGCTTTAGTCTAATGAAGCATTGTCTATATTACGTTTGTGGACTTTAATAATGATACTTCTTTATATCTTTTCTTCTAGAAAATGAGATGTGAAATTGGTAAAGGTGATCCCAAGAAAGATCAAGAAGTTATGTTAAGATTCTTTAAGGTATTTTTGTAATATTTTCTACATTAGGTTCCACTATCTCTACTAGGACCATAGCCCTTATTAACTTTGAATCATGGCTTGAAGCTTGTACTGTACGAGTAAACGACTGATATTGTGGCTGAAACTCATAATGTATTGAAAAACACACAGTGATTGCAGTTGACACACGTTTTAGATATGGATTAATTCATCAGGACAGTTAATTACAAACTAGTCATAGACTAAGGGAACAGGGAGCAAACTCATTGAACTTGAGGAATCAAATACAAGAATATTCTATAGGGTAAAGACTTGACTATAGTTATAAGGGGATGGAAGCTGACATCTGGCTTGCTCTCGAAAGCACTGGTCATAGACTCATCATTAAATTAGTGTGACTTAAAAAATATGACATAGCTGTTATTTTTATTTCCAGTTTATATTAAAACTCTGGGGTGAAGAATTGAATCAAAGGGAGGAAACTCTGAAGAGAACCAATAAAGGCAAAATGCAGAGTGCAACACATACACAAACAGTAGCCTATTTAAAACCATTGTTTAAAAAGTTAAAAAATGCAGTAAGTATTGATATATTTTTCCATTATTTACAAGGATAACTGTTTAACAGGTTTTCCATTCCATCTACCAGGATGTTCTTGGCTTAACCCATTGGCCCAGATTTTTCCTGGATCATCAGTACCCATTTACAGCTGTGTTAACTTTCACTCGCTGACCAAGATTGGAATCCACCAGACCAATTGTTCAACTACCTATGAAAAGCAATTGATCGAGGAACCCCTTCAGACACTGAGACCACGTCAGATCATTAAGGCTGGACAGAAATCCTTGTTGAAATTGAATTAATATATTATAGAAAGTAGATGAAGATATATTAGACAGTATGGTTTATATCACAGAACATGTCATGGACAGAGACTATATAAAAGTAAGGTTTTACCATCCATTTGTAAAGAGACATATCCAGTAGTTATGAATATAATTTACATATAAATCAACCCCTGAACTGGTGAACTATGACCTTTAAGGGGTCAGTAGAAAGTCGGGTGCTTTAATCAAAGAAAACTATAAACTAAAGTCTAGAGAAATGTGTCCCTCACCTTATCTGACAGATTAACTAAAATCATCTTTTCTTTAAATTTTTTGAAGGTAAAACCATTTAAAGGTTCACCTCTTAGCAATGTGATGTGCTTTCTTATTGTTCTATTAAGATTATTGTCAATATTTTTTGTAGGCCAATGATCGTTATTTAGAAATGGCTATCGGTAACGCCCCCTGGCCTATTGGTGTAACTATGGTGGGTATCCATGCCCGTACTGGACGTGAAAAAATCTCATCACGATATGTAGCTCATGTTTTAAACGATGAAACACAGAGAAAATATATTCAGGTCAGTGTGATTTTCAAATCTCAAGTTAAATGCTAAAGAAGTTGAATTTCCGTTTAATTTTTGTCAAATTTTAGCATGGAATTCTAATTTTTGACACCAACTACACAGCAAATTTCCAAAATTTGAAATTGGATCAAGACTAGCAATGAATATATTACATAGGAATGAAAGTTACATTTGTAGAATGTATCTCAAACTCCAAAATAACTCTCAGGCATAACATTTTTCAAAATGTTAACAAAGAATTTTTCTTAATACTTAATGTTTCAATTTCTTTTCAGGCATTAAAAAGATTAATGACACAAGCTCAGAAACTATTTCCTACTGACCCTTCTAAGAGTTTTAACTATAAATCTCCAGTATGATTTTAGAGTAAACGATTCAGGACTAGTTGAAAGTGTTTCACGCCAATGTGACTGTATGTTTGTGGAGGCGGGGTTTCTGCTTTGACACTAGTACAATCGGACATTTTAACCTTAATGCAGAAAGTTTTCTGCTTCAAAACTCCCAGGTCATTTAACCTTGATATTCAGACAGACTGGCAATGTTTTGTGAATTTTCCACAATTACAAAGTGCATCAGTTCATTTCAATGGACATTTAAGAAGTCACTGATCAGTTAATAACTTATATCAAACATTGTGGCTACCACCTTGAATGATGAAAGATTTGTTGTAAAAACTTGTAAATGAAAGTGAAGAATCAGTGTAGCCTGGCAGAAAAATGTGTCCAGACGCCTTGTGTATTATAAGATCTGAAGGCATTTAAACATCACAGTAGAGTAGTAAAGCTGTTCTATTAAAATTTCTTGTATTATAGGCCTATACTGTATAAAATTATCAAACTTTATAAGGTAATACGGTATATGAAATAAACATGATGTATCTCGTATTTTTGTTTGTTTTTATTTTGAAATCCGAATTCCACACAAATGGTTGCTATGCTGTTACTGCAAGGGAAGTGACTCTGTCAGAGAGCAGTGACCCACCAAAATAAACAAACACCTTATTATTAGCTGCTTTGTATATAAAATAAATGCATATTGATACCAAGGGTTTTATATGTTTTATGAAGCACAGAGAGCTTTTTTGTTGAATTGGGGCTGAAGGTTTTGCTACACAGACTTTGAATGAATGTGTTAAAAAAAAAGTCAAGGCACAATGTAAGTCAATATCCGATTTAAAGTGAGGCTTGCTATGTAAAAGCAGATTGCAAAGTTGAAAACCCTTGTCATAGAATGGTATCAGGTTTTCTGAAAAAGTAACCATGTCTTATCTTGATAAACATGCTGCTTGTTCCTCAGTCTCTTTTAAAAGAAATGTATTTGCATGTAATGGTACGAATCGACCATAAAGTACATCAAATTTGAGCGAATTGACTTACATTATTACGAAACGTCCCTGTCTAATTTGTGCCCGAGAGTTATCTGCCCCTACGTTCAAAATCGTTCAAAAGCTGAAAAAATAAGAAAAAAATCAAATTTTACTAATAAAATGGAAATGGAAGAAGGTGAAGACAATTTGATATCGTGTGCTCTTGCTGTAGATGATGGAGCAGACGATGATTTCGACATGGATGTCCCTCCGACAACAGGAAATGAATATTTGAGAAGAGTTCGGTGAGACCCCCCCCCCCCCTTTTTTTTTTCTCTTTCTCTCTTTACATACTTTTACTTATTTTTTCTGTTAAGAAGTTTGCGTGAATCCAGTGACAGTGATGCTATGAGAACTCAGAAGAAAATATTTCAACTCTTGTGCTACAACAGTGAACAATGGCTGTCCACACCTCAAATGTGGTTGTCTAATATTATTATGGTAATATTCTATTCTCAATTCAGACAAGAAGCTAAGGAATGTCCTGATGTGGTTGTAGCTAAAATAGACACAGAAGTTTTTAAACATAAACAAACTGTTAAAGTTTCCAATGTAAGTAGATTGATAGGCCTATTTATCTGCAGAAACCCAGAGGCCAGACAAACAGTAGCCTACTTAGGGCTAAGGAGGCTATATTGATCTTTGCCTCCCTGTTTTTGTACCCTAAAGATATAACAATAAAAATCATCTCTAAAACTTACGATATATCCTTGATTGTAGCCTATTGGTGTATGGAAGAATATGGATATAATACTAATAATGATATTGTTTTTATTTCCAGCTTGTGAAATGTTGTCCAGCGCCAAAAGGTTTAGCACCAAGTGTAGCCTGGCAGAAGTTTCAGATCGATAAGTTTGTTGAGCTGAGACAGGTCTGAATACAATGATGCTTTACTTAAAAATTTTCATATGAAGTTAAGATGAGCTCATCCTAAGCTGCCAAATATGTCTTCTCATCCGGAATTTTGACTAATATTTAACTCATATTGCTGATTTTGTTGGAAGCAGAAGGAACTTACTGAACTCTCAGATGATTAAGACCATTTTTTTTTTATATAAATATTGTTAAAGTATTTTAATTTGTTTACAGAGTTTTATCCATCATAAAGCTGTGATGAAGAAAGAAAATGTAAAGCTGGCTAAAGTGGTAGGTGTCTGTGATACTATTTGTTTATCCAAGAGAAGTGTTAATGTTATTGTACATATTTCTCTCACTGCACACTGCATGGTGTCGCTGTCTTTGTCCATTCTGGTGCGGGAAATGTCATTTAATTTTAGTTTCAATTCATGCTAAGATGTTGTTCAAATATCAAAATCTATTTATTCATAGCCGAGTGCTAATGATGCTGAGAGATGGTGCAAGTTATGTTTTGGTAGATTAGTGAAACAGACCACAGTTAATGGTGAACTTGAAACTACAATAGAGGGTAGTCCCCCTTTAGTTAGTATACTAGCGGCCATGGGACAGGTAGGTATTTTATTTAAGAATCCCTCATATATTTATAAATAACAATTTTTCCCATACAATAAGACATGAAGTCACAAAAATAAAATGTCTTCCTTTTCTGTACCTGTTTGAGTTGATGAGGGCAGGAAACACTACGCAGTGTGCAATGAGGGAAATTTTACTGGAACCGCATCATGAATCTACTCTTTTCAATATTTTAGAACACTATAATAAAAGTGCTGCAATATCATGTAAATTGGTTTGAAGCTACAGGTTTCACTTCTCATCAGGTACATTTATTTATTTCAAGATCTATATATTGGAAATCCACTAATTCTTCAGACATCATGATCCTGGTTTTATTCCATAGAGTGGTTCTCATGACAACTTATCGGTGGTGATTGATTGGAGAGTTCTAAACAAGTTCTGTCTGTTTTGATTCTGAACTCAATCGACCAGCAGAAAGCTGCTACATCACATTCAAAGTTATCCCATCTTTTTCTTTATGCGCCATTAAATTCTCTCTACACCTCCTATGATTTAAAGACCATTGTATTTAGTACAATAGTCTATAATACTACAATACTATATAACTCAGTTTGTTATTTCCAGGGTCGATGGTTATATGCGTTAATGACAGCTTTACAGAAACCTCTAATACCAGAAGTATGTAGTACATTACGTTCCCTAGCTAGACTGGCTTCACAAATTAGAGCTACCTTAACATCAGTAAGAAACTTTCTATTTCATTTTCTTGATATTTTTCATTTCCATTGTAATCTAACAACTTTCCTACCACAGTCTTGTTCTAAGCTGTAATTATTTCTAACCAATCAAAGTATGTGAATTAGGAGTTTTATAACAATTATGAATTTTGGCATCTAATTTTAATTTGATTGCCCCGTTCTGTTCAACATGCGTTTCTTTTTCCAGGAGGTAGAAAATGAAAGTAGAATTACCGAGCTGAACTTATTAATATGTATCGTTGCCAGATATTTTGACCAAGCTGATTTGATGGATACTGAAGTTTCGTGACGCTCCAGGGATTTTCTTTAACATCCTAACAACTGTGATACTTCTGAAGCTGACCCTTAGTTGTGGCAGACAGTGGCAAGCTGTGGTGAAATACTTGATCTCAAATGAAACGAGTTTTACGTCCTACATTCTTTACCTGATGGGACTAGAGAAAACAGACAACACCATGTAGTGCCTGCTGAGGGAAATTCTGTAACAACTGTGGTAGAAGCTGAGCTCTTGTTGATTTCCATCTGCACAAACCGCAGCCACATGGTGCCTTCATTTATTGTCCCATCTGCATGACAAGATGATTTTAAAGAAATGGATGAGCTCAATTTATAAGGTCCCTTGAATCAACTGGTGTTTGGTTTTATCATTTGTTTTTTAATTCAATGAGATTATGTTTTAACTCAATAAATTAATTTTTTATATATTGTAAAGGGATCAGCCCTCCTTTGCTTGATGTACAAAGACCCCCTTGATGTATAAAGACCCTTATCATACACTCCTTGAGGTTCAAAGACCCCCTAGTAGTAGGAAGACTCCCTTTGATGTACAAAGACCCCAAACCTTTTGATGCACCTCTTGATGTACGAAGACCCCCGTTTTAATGTACAAAGACCCCTTTGATGTTAAAAGACAACCTTGCTGTACAAAGCCCCCCTTGATGTTCAAAAACCCTATGATGCACAAAGACCCCCTTTGTGTTCAAAGACCCCCTTGATGTACAAAGACATCCCTTTTAATGTTAAAAGACCCCTTGCGGTACAAAGGCCCCTTGCTGTACAAAGACCCCTTGATGATCAAAGACCCCCTTGATGTACAAAGACCTCCCTTTTAATGTACAAAGACCCCTTTGATGTTAAAAGACCCCTTGATGCACAAAGACCCCCTTTGATGTTAAAAGAACCCCTTGATGTACAAAGACATCCCTTTTAATGTACAAAGACCCCTTTGATGTTAAAAGACCCTTTGCTGTACAAAGACCCCTTGCTGTACAAAGACCACTTGATGATCAAAGACATCCCTTTTAATTGACAAAGACCGCCTTTAATGTTAAAAGACCCCTTGCTGTACAAAGGCACCTTGCTGTACAAAGACCCCCTTGATGTTCAAGGACCCCCATGCTGTTCAAAGACCCTTCAATGTACAAACACTTGTCGCACAAAGATCCTCTTTATGCATTAAGACCACATTGCTATACAAAGACCCCCCTTTTGATGTACAAAGGACATCCTTATACAAAAGACCCTTCGAAGTACAAAGACCCCCTTGATGTTCGAAGACCCCCTTGCAGTGCAAAGACCTTTTGATGTACAAAGTCTTAGATCAAGACCCCCTTTTGATATACAAGTCCCCCTTGGTGTACAAAGACTTGTCGCATAAAGACCCCCTTGCTGTACTAAGACCCCCTTCATGCACAAAGACCCCTGATGGAAGAGAAGAGTAAGTAAATTATAGAATAAAAAAGAGTTATCTGTCCCTGTTTTATTAGCGGAAGATTTAACAATAACAAAACAATACATCCAATATAATAACCATTTTTGTCGAGCAAAAATATTTTGTTCCTCCAGGTCCAATTCAAAACACGAACACAAGCAGTCCACTTTCCTTTAGGGTAGAATAAATATTAATAGAAATTATAGAGACTATATTAGTATTGTGTTGACTGCTATCTAAACTACCTAATCATAAAATGGACTGGTCCTTTTTTGAATTTTATTTTCCCTGGATGTGCAGAATATCTTTGCTTGACTTTAATTCTCATTTGGTAATCAAAACATTCAACAAAATAGTGAATAACCTGACACAATTTTTGACATTCTTTCCTTAATTTTCCCAAAATTTGGATCAAAAAAAGAGGACTGGTGGATTCCACCCATGAAATTGATAAATCACTTTTTTAAATCATAATTCAAATCAATCCAATAGAAAGAATCTAGCATTTGTATTTACATCTATTACATCACTCCCATTTCTATCTAAAATCAGTAACCCTAATTCTTATTCAGACTAACTGGACAAACAATACTCTGTCACTAGAGGTTAGGCCTACATGCCTGTGCTTTCAGAACGTTACTTAACCCCACCTAATATCACTACTTCAAGAGAAATGGATCGTTTTAAGATATCACTGACATTAGGAAGATAGGAATGATGTATATAGAAGCTGTCAATGTCCTTATACACTTACAAAGGCTTTAAGAAACCACCCTTTATATGATAAAATCTCAACCGAAGATGTTCTGACCTCAAGTATACGAGACATTACTCTCTAGAAAAGAAGTTTTGTTTGCTAAAATGATTTGCGTTTAGACTTAAAGATCCTATCTCTTTCAATCGAGGATATTCTGAATACTTGTATTCCTTATGAGACATTAGTCTCTAGAAAAGAAGTTATGTTGCTATGACAATGGTTTGCGTTTGTTCTTGTACATCTGCTCTAGCGTAGAGGCATTGTACAAGCCTAGCTTCAAACCGGTCTTTTTACGACTGGAATTCATATGCATAGTGGGAAAGGGATTGAAAGGTTTCAACGGTTTGCTGGCAGATGTCTGGCTTGTTTCAGAGGTCGGTGTGGTGGGCTGGGAAGAACTGGGGGATGCTGGGGGATTAGAATGTTGGTGGCTTGGATTTGACATGCAGGAAAATTTGGTAAGAAAATGGTCACCTTCGACTAAACTAACTGAGCGCGTAATAGATTGCAACATCATTGTGTGTTTCGATTTACGAAATGGAACGTCTCTAGGCGTAAGAGCACTATTGGCAAAGTCTGGTACGCTAGCAGTTTTTGTCATTTTTTCAGTTTTTTTACCAGAGTCCTCACAACCATTTGCAATGTCTTCATGACTAGATAGATTAGAGTTACTCCCCTTTACAGGATGTAAACTTGCAGATGACCAGTCTTTTTCTGGATTTTTATTGCTTTGAGAATCGTTGCTATGGTTATCACAATCCTTTGAATCGCTCACTTCACTATCTTGACCTAGATTTTCACTTTCTCCATTTTTACAAGATGGCAGAGAGTTCACTTCCTGTATGGTTTCCGTGGAAACGACACTTGTCTGCGAATCACTGTTAGATGTTACACTATTTCTCTGAGATTCCGATGCCTGCTTAGAGTCCTGTTTATTCACAGAATTTGCCTGTTTGGTGCCTATTCCACCATGCTTATTGATAGGAGCTATAGTGGGCCCATCAGCAATGACTCTGTTTTTGCCACTTGTATGAGATTTCCCAATAAACAAATGGTTCATGGCTGTTGGGGTTTCTATCTTTGGAACAAATACAACTGCTTTAGGTTTAGGAGTTTTCTTCAAAGAAGCACCTGGAAAGAGAAAAGACAAAATGTATTATGCTGGGAAGAACTAGGGGATGCTGGGGGATTAAAATGTTGGCGGCTTGGATTTGACATGCAGGAAAATTTGTTAAGAAAATGGTCCAAAATGTCCACACAGTTTTGAGAATAAGGATTGGCTTCGCTGAACATCTTACATGGTATGTCGATGTTAGCTTGTTCCTGATTGGACCATGTTTCAAAGGAGGAGATAAGTAGCCTATCCCACTATATACTGAATGAGCTGGTTTTTGATTGGACAATCTTTTCAAAATCACAATTCTTAACCAATAGGATTTGAGAATAGCGACCTACCTGCTATGATGATGTGAGCTTGTTTCTGTCGATGACGTAATCGTTCATACTGATTCTTCAGAGCATGTATATCAGTTGACATCCGCTCCATATATGGTGACCTATGACCTTGACTGTCTATTGATGCTCCGAATGCCCCTGGACCCACTGACGAGATGTCAGCGCCCCCTGGTCCACTACCTTGACCTTCCATTCCTACAACAACAAATTTAACTTAAAATTTTCAATTAGGAAATAATAATAATAAATCTCCTTGCTTTTTTCCTTTTCAAGCCTTTGCACGACTGTGACATAATTTAAATGAATCAAAAAAGGGGCAGTAACTCACCTGGAAAACTAGAAATAGCCTCAATATCATCTTCATCCAGTTCATCATCATCACTATACAGGAGATTTTTACTGGCTTGTGAAGATTGTTTATTACCAGAACTAGAAAAGGGTCTGATGTTATAGGTGTATTTCTCTCGTAGATCCATTAAATTAGGGAAGGGAAACGGGGCTACACTGTAGATTGACTGAAAAATATCAAAAATAGACAACTGATAAACTGTGAAAATTTCCAACTGTCAAAGGATCTAAGCAAATAGACATTTTCATTTAAACCCTTCTACCTTGAATCAAGAGGAAACCAAGTTGATGACACCCAGGGCCCCAGAGTGCCTACAAATGAATCAAAATGTGTAACGGCCATAGAATTCTTAAGAGGGGCTCACACACAATTCTTTGCGGTAAATGGGGTGCAGTATCAGTTCTGTTGGGGGCATGACCATGCTTGGCCCGCACCCTTGTAGATATGCCACGCCTATAAAAATAAGGGAAACATACCTTGATGAAAGAATCAGGATGGAATAAATGACCCTGCATCATTTCAGCTGATAAATCACCCATCAAGGAATAAAACTCATCAGCACTTGGGACATTCATTATTCGTCTGAAATCAGAACAGGATATGAGATATCATCAATGAAAATAACTTTCTGTGCAATTTCATTTCAAATTTAAGAAATAATAATTCAATTTTTTCACTTTTCATAACCTTGACTTTTTGTATGACATTTTATTTAACAGACTTCCACACTCTTCAGTAAATATAGCAAAAAAACTTTGTGAACCATCCATAAGGAATATCATTTTACAAACTCAGTTGTACTAAAGTGTTGCGAAAGATTAAGCATGCCTTTTGACTTAGTATCAAGAGCTTAGAGCTAAACCAATAAAGTTATCACTATTCCAGTAGTTTTCATTAATTGATAACAAAACAATATTTCTAGCTGATGAATTGATAAAAACAAAAATTGATAACAGACCGGTATTTTACTACAATATACAAGATAGTGGACCACAGCCATATACACCCACTACGGCATGCGGATGGTAAAAACGAAACATCCATTTTAAGTTTCATCAAAATCGGTTGAAAACTAAGATAGCATATTCAAGATTTTGGGGCAAGGGCAATAACTCTGCTTCTAACGGTCAAAAATTGCTCAAATTCGAGCTTGATCTCCGTTTTATGAATATGTATACACATACCGAATTTCATTTGATTCCATCAAAAATCTAGTTTTTAGAGCGTTTACAAGCAAATGTTGACCGACGGACGGACGGGGGTGCCGACAATATACTTCCACATAGAGAGATGTGGTCATATAAAAATGAGTTGATCAGAATTAATAACTGATAGATAACTATATCAATATATCATAATAAATAAGTAGGTAGTATACCATTACAAATTAAATATCATATTATTATATCTATCATTGAATATTAATAGTTTTTATAGACTAGTTATTATCATAGTCAAATTAATATGTATTTGCCAATATCTTTAATATATAATATTAATTGTGTTTTTTGTTGAATAAAACCTGTGGTATAGAAAAACAAAGATAGCCAGAGTCTGCACATTCATCAGATATTTGCTACTTATTCAAAATAAATGCAACATATGTATGAAAATTTCAAAAGATAAGCCTAACTTTTGATAGGAAATTTTTTGCTTACCTTGCTAATTTGCCCCAAATAGTTAAAGCAGTCCTCAATAAGATTTCTGAACCTTCTAATAATACTGAATCCATCACTCGTAGAACAATATTCTTTGGTAAACACGTTGCAAATAAGGTTAAAAACCATTGCATAGTAAATACATTCGTTAAAGGTGGTTCATAACATGCACCTGTAAAATAAACAAAATTCACATTCATAAGTTGTCTGTCCTTATTTGGAAAACCAGTTTTGGTTTTGTACATTACATCATTTGCTTGGTTACGTCTAACAAATGATGGTTGCGTTCTAATCTCTGTCAGTGAGTGAAAGTCTAATGACTTTAAATAGGTCATTTTCAGCAAAAATTTCAATTGGCCAGGATAATCCAGGAAAGATCAATGCCAAGATGTTTAGCCAAGGACCAGCCAGTAGAACCGTTCGTGAATCTTAGTTGTGAACATCCTTCTAAAATAAACAAAAATGGCGTTTACCTGTGGCATGATCTTGTGCTGCGTGCTGTAAATAATCTAGATGTTTGGATAAACTAGGTAACGTTACACGTAACAAATCACGGAATACTGCCATGTCCACGGACAATGCTCGTAAATTATTTGCAAAATAACTTTCAGGTAACACATGATCTATTAAATATACCATTACCTGGAAAATAGATAATAAAATATTGAAAATGTATTTAAGTATTATGAGAATGAGAATCCCTTTTGAGAGTTTTCTGAAGAATTCCTGCAAATTTTCAGGCCCGTACCCTTCATATTCTATTTTCAGAAAAGTTTTCTTCTGATATAAGCAAAGTCTCCAAAATTCAAAATGGATGCTCCAAGTTAAAGAGAACTGTGCTTGGCACAATGGTAGCTTTCTGTGTTCAGAATGAATTTATGAATTTATTAGCAAAAGGACTGGAAACATTTTCTACTTTCCCTCACCAAAAGTAGACACAACAACCCAGTCTTAAAATAGCCAATACCCTGCATCAAAGAGAAAGAAGGCCAAAGTGAAAGAGGGCCAGAATTAGTCTGTTATATCAGATATCTGGAAGCAAAAGTTAATTTATCTACCAAACTACCAAGAGGTCAGCAACTTACTTTCAAAGCATCATCTTCTTTTCTATCCATAACATCTAATAAGAGAGCAGCTATAATGTTGAACCCCTGACAATATCCAACACGTTTATTCCACCGGGCATACGCTAATAATACACGTTTCAATATGGCTCGGTCTTCTTCATTATCATGTCCGCTGAAACTTGTACACCCTGTTCTATGTAGATCCTGAAAAGACAAATTTAATAGTGTTCCTATCTTTCTGTCTTGCTGTGTGCAATGTGGGAAATTTCGCCTGGAAAGCAGAATAAGCCTACTCTTTATGACTGTTAAAATGAAATTTTCTGCCCCTGACTAGGTAAATGAAGACCAGCAATACCATACAGTGTACAGCCACATCAGCCTTACTGGAACATCTTAATTAAATCTTAAGTTGATCCAACCTATGAACTTTTCAAATTGAAAAACAGAAATCGAAATTGCCCTTTATTAGAATTTTCATATTGAATCATACTTCACACGATCTAAATTATCATTTTGAGAAGTGTTACAGGCTAGCTGGAACTGAACTCAAATGATTTCATGATAAAATCTAATCAATTCCACATTCTTGGTTTCTTTTGAGATCAGTTTCTATTCCTGATAATTAATCTGAGACTAAAATAGCGGCACCGGTAATTACAGACCAAACAATATCAGGAATCAATAAGTTATAATAGAATAGTTATTTTTATAGCAAGCAGCAGTCAGTCATTACAATAACAAGATATATTAAACTTTGGTACAAACACAGAAAATCAATTTAAACCTAAAAGGATTTTTGATTGAACTGTTTCATTTGGTTTTAAAAAACATAATTTGCAACCAATACGCAACTGGTAGTAACCCTAGTGAGAGAGCACCTTTAAATGATTTTCGTTGAACTTTGATTTAGTTTTAAAAACTACCAAGTCGCTACCAAACTCTCAGAGTTTCCTTTGTTCTCAACCAAAATTATATTTAAACTTTGAGAACAGACTGTAGCCCAGACAGTAAGAGAGTTGGAATTTGAGGTCATTAGCATGATTACATGGAACAAATGGTGGTCATGTGTTCTAATCTTGGTTTACATATGGTGACCTTGTATTTCATTTGCCAATTTATGACGTAAGTAATAAAGCTGTCTTGGTAAGAAACTTCCTGTAATTATTGCAGGAATTCACAGCCAAATCACGTCAAAAAACAGCATAATGGCAAGAAGCTGTGATTAAATTCAATCATTCAATCTCTTGCAGGAAACATGACAAGCATGTAATTATAAATCTATCATTCTATTCCTTATGGAATACAGATCTCCTATTTCACGTCTGAACACAACAATTTAAATATCCTATCAATAAATCAAGATCTTTGGCAATCTGGGATTTCAGGATTAAAATCAAGCCTCTACTGATATAAAACTTAAAAAACAATTTGTAGGAGAACCAGAAGCTGAATTTCAATTCTAAAATGCGATTTGTATGCCTTTTTAGACCACTGTATCCCATTTTATCTACAGTAGAAACTGTATTAAGAGACCACTCAAGAGAACAATCCAAAACGGTCTCTTAATGGAATGGTCTAGCCCGGTCACAAGGAATGACTCCGTGCTGGGGCTCTGATTTTGTACTTTTTTTAATTAAAGGCCCAGAGAACTCATTTCTGACTATATTGAGGTGCCAAAAACGTTTTGTACAAATACACTGTAAATGAATCAATCTCTGGTGAACTGAAGAAGGTTTTGCTGGGGCTTAATTCTCACTTCCCACGGACCCCACCCTAAAGACGGGGCTGCATTGGTCACGTAATGAAGGTGGTTGTTTATCAGTCATTAATTTTATTGAAAAGTCGTAGGGGGGAATTTATTGTGGTCGCATATTGAAGGTGATTGTTTAGTAAAGATGGTTGCATGAGCAGGATTCACTGTACTAGCTGTTAAAGTGCATAATCAAATGGCTATATAGGATTTCAATAATTCAATATGTCATAGTTAAAAAATAATCTACGCAATATATATTGAAATGTCAAAGGCAAATGTCTTTCTTTCCTAACGCAGCATCCAGTTAATGTCAAAGGTAGAAATGATCTCAGATCACAGTTATTAATTTCTATCACGCTTTCATCTAGTCATTCCTTTTAACAAATGCTTTGTTCTTTATAGTACAAATAACCTTTCATCTTCACAATGTCAAGCTATATACTTTTACATCATTCGGCACTTTTCTTGATTGAAATTCTACGTCACCTGTCAGCAAGCTTTAAACACACAATTTGTCTCCCTTGTGAAGCCAATCAAATGTCTTGGCAGACAACTAGTTACATGCACAGCCATATTGTTTACAGTGTTTCTGGCGAGGGCTCTGATTGGTTGTATAATGCAAGCGTACAATCCAATCAAATGAAAGCCTTCTGTGATACAAGAAAAGTGCCTTATGATGTCAAGGTATTAGACAAATTTCATTAAAGCTTGCCATTGTGAAAAGATGGTTAGGTCTACTCTTGATATCTTTGATTTCAACATATCATCCCGATAAAAATTGTTAAGTTTCAACACCTTCAATAATGGAGCAAAAACTTTGAATGGGAAAGTCTGTAGTCTGTGATATCAGTTAACTGGAAGCGGATGTTAACTTGCTTCTTGTTATATAAATCTATCTTAGGAAAAGTTCTCACATTGTAGTAATAAATACTATTAGACAGTAATAATGATATAAGATATCTAAGATAAGATAATATATAATAATTATATATGTCAGACACTCTTATAAACTAAAGTTATATCAATATCTATTTCCTTCAGACAATTCTTTTATATCTTTATATTCATCCACTTCCTGCTAATTGCACTATATTTGTCTGTGATATCTAATTGAAACTTTCTTGAGAGACATTCTTTGAAACATGATTTCTCTACGGTAAATTTTCATTTTTTTTTCTGTCACACAGACAAATTTCATAATAGATCTTATTCATGCGTCAGACATTGAATCCAGAACAAGGCTCAAGACGCAAGCAAAACTAAAAGGTGGTATATTCATTGCCTCCTTCTCCAGCAATCCCACGAACTCAAAACTAATGGAGTGTTAAATGACATCATATAGACTATTCCTTCATTTGAAGTTACCATCTTTTCAATAAATGATTTAATGGCGTAATTTTCGTTCTGAGTCTCCTATTCAATGGTTCCAAAACGAGGCATGAAAAAGGTCCACAGGCCTTTTGGGCATGTAAATCTTTCAGTGAGAAGACAGAGGGTAGCATATTAGATTGTGATCTTGTCTGGTGTTGAATTCTGCTCAAGGTAAGAAAAATTTTGATGCCACAGCCAGTGCATACGAAATTGGTCCAACGATGGATTTGACTCCTATCACCTAAAACTGTTACTCATTAGTTCTTACCTTGACAATCTGTAGACCTAGTTTATTATCATCTGGGTTACTTTTCTCATTGAAGGCAAATCGTACAGTTTTCTCCCAGTCGATACGTAGATCTCTGATATGATTATCAGCTAAACTTAACCATACCTACAGGGAATTTCAAATTATTAAATATTCATTTACTATTTTAAAATTATATTAATATGGAGAAAAAAACCTAAGATGCTTAAACTAGTTAAGGTGAGAGCTTGCAGATTTGAGTCTTAACAGTCAAGCTGCCAATAGAGGGGGCACTATGTCCTTTACAGTGAGGCTGACAATGTGGAACAAGTGATACAGTAGAACTAGAAGCAAATACATGAGATACAGGACCGGACACGAAGCAAATCCATTTTAATTCTTAGTTTTTCTCGATAATTCTGTACCCTACAAAGCAATGGATATTTGGGGCAAAAGAAATTACTAACTACCTCCCCTTACCTTCTTGCGGAAGTCAGCAGGAATACCCATTGGTAGACGTGCTACTGCTTTCATGGCATCCTTCCATTGATCGAAGGCGTTATCACTCTGTAATGGTTCTATACTAAACCTCATTCTAGTGTCAATACCTGAAAAATAATGGTCATTTATATCAATACCACAGCAGCCACATTTCTTTTTATGCCATCTGCACAATATGGTTACGGTACCTAAATAAAGATAGCTTGCCAGGCAAGGTAACATACGCCCACTGTCAGAAATGATTAAACAGTCTTTAGTGACTACAGGGTTGCACAATATAGCTAATAGAGTGAAACGTCAAGTCAGACACGATATTTCGGTGAAATATTATCTGATCATCACGAAAATCAATAGGGATCATCTTCATAATGACATTGACATACAAAATCAAAATCAAAAGAATCTGTAAAGAATTGTAACCTGTAGAGTGAGCACGAGTTGCACAATATAGCTAATAGAGTAAAACGTCAAGTCAGACACGATATTTCGGTGAAAAATTATCCGATCATCACGAAAATCAATAGGGATCATCTACATAATGACATTGACACACAAAATAAAAATTAAAAGAATCTGTAAAAAATTGTAGCCTGTAGAGTGAGCACGAGTTGCACAATATAGCTAATAGAGAAAAACGTCAAGTCAGACACGATATTTCGGTGAAAAATTATCCGATCATCACGAAAATCAATAGGGATCATCTTCATAACAACATTGACATACAAAATAAAAATCAAAAGAATCCATAAAGAACTGTAGCCTGTAGAGTGAGCACGAGCCAAATGTGAACGGACGGACGGACGGACCAAAGGACCGACGGGGTGATTACAATATACGCCCATCTTACGTGTGGGCGTATAAAAATGAAAAAAAGGTGCTTAATTTAAAAATATTTTTCTTGACAAACTAAAGCCAAGATACATGCAGGAAATTACTTTAAATGAATGAAATGAGTTTTACATCCTATTTTTCAGGAAATTACTGACAAGCATGCAGAATTGCAGATCTATTAAAAGCCATATAAATAAGTATAAGCTCAGGGGACGAATGATTCCCCAGGGGACAAAAAATTCCCCAGTATGACTGCCACCAACAAGACTTTCACTAATTCATGGCCTTTTTGTATCAAATCTAAAATACAGTCTAAGCTCAAAGCTTTTAAATAAATTGAAGTTCTCACAGCTGGTTTAATAGGAAATTAAAAAGACATAGAAATTGTAGCTATCGTCGAAAATAGAACAGACAATTGATAAGAGAGGAGATAGTAAACACCCACGCATTGTCACTATCAGTATATCTCTTTATTACTTTCACAATCATGTGGTTTAATAATTAAACTAATGGTTGGCACTAGAAATGTCATCCTGATTCATTGAAGGTGCTCGAGTCAGTCAATATTCAACCTTTGATCCATCAAAAGGCATTGACTATACTACATTTACATTAACGATACTATTCTTACATTGAAGGTGCTTTAGTCAGTCAATAGTAAACCCTTGATTCAATACTGATTTGTCAACTTAGCATCGCTTTAAGAGAGTCCATATATATATACAGGTAGCTAATGATTATTTGGTATAAATCAAATACTTTAAGAAAGTCCACAAAAAGCTAAATGATCATTGGATTTAATAATTCCAAATATAGCATGTATCCATTGAGATAACCACTGTGGCTGATTTTTTAATTTAAAAGAGGAACCATATGTTGTATTATGTACTTAAATAACAAGTTTGTATTTCCCGCTGTATGACGTCATCACTATGGACATGTCATTATGATCAATCTCATGCTAAAGGCTTGCCAAATGGCCTACCGTCTGTAAATAAACAACATAATAAAACACCATATATAGCTAATGTCCATTAGTATTTTTTCAAATCAAGCATATGATATCTTAAGAGCCAGGAACATAAAATTCATTAAGATGGCCACCATGGCTAATGGTCATATCGTATATGATAAATTATTCATGGTGAAGATCATAATTATTGACTACCCTGTCTCCGGGGAAATAAATAAGAAACAATTTCTTAAAAAAGAAATTAACAACCATTTTTACATGGATAACAACTTATGGTTCCTACCAGCTAGTCCCTGGCTACTTACAAGGTTAACAACTTAGCTTCAGAAAGGTTCTGTCTACCAGCTTGTTCTGGATCAAAGCTCCTGGCATTGATCTTTCCCAGGTTTTCTGTACCCATTTCAAACCTTAGATGGGACAATGAACAAAATGCCAATATACCTCATTGCACACTGCATGGAGTTGTCTGTCTTAGTAGCAGAATCAGAAGCAGAAAAGTAAGACATAAAACTTACTTATTTCCAAGCAATATAACTGTGTGTCTTTGTAACTAAAATCATACTAGTAACGGATAACTAATTTTCACATAATTAATAAGCTTATCTATTGCTCTTTGACCTAGGCCAGTGCTTTCATCAAAACTCGCCTCAATATATCCTACTACTAAACCAGATCCTCTTCCACATTACAACATATATATGACTAAACCATGCTTTTACATCAAACTACAATCATACAACTTACGAACGAAATTGATACCAACCTTTATCAGCACGTATGAACAGTCGTTTTTTCAACTTAATGGCCTCCTCCGCAGATGGTTCGTTATATTTGGTTGAAACCAACCCAAACATATTGCCTTTTGTCCTCATATTGATAATTTTACGCTGTTTAATTCCGTTATAAATTATCAATTATTGAATACGTCAAGGTTCAGCATCAATAGGTCTGTTTTATTTCTAGTATATGTTTTTTCACTCAATAGTAGGGCTAAGAATTTATTTGGTTTAAGTAGAAATGGTTTTTAATCAAATGATGATTCAGTAATGGAATTCTTGTTCCAATTTTGTTCTATTTCAGTCCATAGATTTTCAGCTGAGCCTGACAACCACAGTACAATAGACCTTTACATCCTCTAGATTGTTCCAAAATATTTTTGAAGTTCACTCCATATATTCTCCAGGGAACAATGTATCCTTACAACGTCTAGGCTGACTATATTTTGATTAACAGTAAGAACTCAGAAACCGAATAGTTTTTCTATATCAATTCATATATTTTGAGCCAGAAAACCACACAACAGTTGAAATTTACACTCTCCAGCTTGGCTTATGTTTACTTTTGATGTTCCAAATTTCTTTTCTTGTTCACTCCATATATAAGCTTATATTCATGTATTTTGAGACACAACAATAACACAGCAATGGATCTTTACACCCTATAGGTTGGCTTAAATTTGATAACCAGTTAAAGAACTCTTGCACCTAATCTTTCTCTACATCAGTCCATGAATGTTGATCGTGATCGAGATTAGTGTGCGATCGAATTTGCTTCTCAAATCTCATTGGCTTCTCAAATATCCGTCTGCTATTTTTCTCTCAGAGTTCAAATACTCCAAATTGAAAATCAATAGTAAATCTCGCCGATATAAATCACAATTCTATCAAAAGTGCTTTGAGAGAAAATCATCAATATCAATCGTCTACTCCAGCGTTCAATCAATTCCAGAAAATTAAAACCTCTAGAATTTCAATTTCATTTTATTTAGCTAATCCAGTCTTCTTACTTATTAGACAATTCAATTTAGAAATCTGAATATTTTTCACGAATTTTCTACAAAAAGTTTTTCTAAAGCATTAACATTGTCCAAAGTCAGTTTGTGCATATTTGTAAATCTTCCAAAAGTCCACTTTTAGTGTCTTCAAACTTGAAAATATATTCAATATTGTTCCTTAACAAATCCTCAATTCACCTTTGCCCTTTTGTAATGGAAAAACCAGTTTATGATATAAAATCTACAATCTTCAAGTCCACTGAACCAATCTATTTCTTTAAAGAAAGTTCAAATTGAAAAGAGTAGTAGCTGTTTTATCCTGTAGCCAAAGTTAAGTTCACTTTTGATAAGAAAATCTTTTCAGTAAACTGAATGACCAGATGTTAGGGTCTTTTCAATGAGTAGATTTAACCATTCACAACCTTTGTATAACATTAAATTTTTAATTTCTTCTTTGAATTAGCTCATTGAAAATTAGAATCACACTTGTGAACACTACTTTAACCCTGTGTCAATGCCTTCTGTTGAATAGAAACTTATTACCTTTCAACCATCTTACCTCAACGAATTAATGAACACTACTTTTACCCTGTTCCAGTACGACTGCCTTCTGTTGAATAATAACTTGTTACTTCAATCACACTAATCTCTTAATCACTACCACACTATTTCTTAGCGGATTTCTTTATTTACGCCCTTGCCAGTGCTTTACAAAAGAAATTTTATGAACTCTTTCACTCTTTACTCAATTCTTAACACAATTTCCTTTCATTCCATATTTTTTTCTTCACAGAAACAAATAAAAGCAGCAGGCTGCTCAATGATTCCTGGTAATCCTGAAGTAATCCCCAAGCTTAAAGAGATTCCATGTAGAATATGGTCGATATATGGCGAAGTTCCAACTCACTGCTCTAGATTAAATACCACAAATCAATAACTAGGACCTTAAACCCTTTGATTAAATTGGTTAGTGACCTAATTAGACCAACATTATGTTCAATCCTTGCTCATTAGTCGTAGAGTTCGGCAGGTGTTTTGGTCAACATGATTAGACTAATCCATTCAGTCAGTCATTCGCGACTACACTTTGCCAAAATTTAAAAGCACATCACACAAAATGTTCCCTCTGAAAGTTAATAAACATACTCACTCAACAATTTTAACTTCAACAAAGAAAATTACACAAACACAAGACAAACCGAGTTCAATTACACTTCGTTGTAATTCCATTCACGATTCTGACGTGAGGAGACTAAATTGCTTCCTGAAGTCACCCTAGAACGGAGACAAACTGAAGACCTTGTTTTCTGTCATCGTGATGTTTTCCCACCCACGTTTCATGAATAGAAACTCGACCAGCTCTATGGAGAAACCTTACCATCGATTTTCCCGCTAGTTGTCGTCATTGATTCCTGCAGTTTACGTCAGCACCAAGTTGGCATGGTGGCACGAGATGTCTTTCTTCTGACCCAATTCTGGAACTGTAATATCTAATCTATATTAATCATTATCAAAGTACTTTATACTCTG